CGAGTGAGAATATTCCACTATAACCGGCAGCTCAAGGACATTATTGCTTTTTACAAGGAAGTCAGCAGGACCTGTGGGTTTAATTGAAAACACTCAACACTAAATACAGACAAATAAAGCAAATAAACCAGAACGCAGTTAACTAGTCGCTTCTTTTTACAGCCGGAGTTTGGAGGTTTTATCGTCTGGAGCTCTGACGCGTCACCGAACAGGTAAATAAAACATTCATATTAAAAAGCTCCGAGGGAATCTGGTGTCGTCTTTTTGAGCCAAGTAGAAAAATCAGCGTTACTTAACTCACTGGAATCGATGTTTCTATGGCAACGTGACTGCGGCCTCGCTGATATTGGGAAAGGTGTGAAACATTCCCTGATGGGCTGGTGGGCTATCATGAATAAATGTGACCGCTGTGAACTACCTGATCAAAAACAACACACACACACACAAACACACTTGTTAGGGGGATTCTAAATGTTGTTTTAATAAATGAAGACCTGGGACCACCCAGCGAGCTCTTGACATGAGCAGTGTCGACAGCAGGAATAGTAACAGAGAGACTCCGGCAACGAGCCCAAATATCTCTGGCACCTTCAACCAATTAAGAAGCAGAAAAACCCGACAACGACTCCGGGTGTTCGAATGATTTGTTTTTTTCCTTCAAAGAGGAGCGAAGAGGCCGGTATCCGCATGTGTGTTGTGTCTCGTGTTGTGTTGTGTCTCCGCAGCAGCAAAACGCTCGAACCACAACGTGTCGGACGTTTCAGGAAATGAGAATCGAGGGGAAAATGCAGTTTAGTTTGATGTTTTACTCCTGAAACGTTTGATGTTACAGTGGTTTGAGTTTTATTCTACATTCTCATGTGTTCATAAAGAACAACAAACCTTTTAAGAGCCTAAAAAGTCAATTTGAACTTTTGGTTTAAGGGTCATTGCACTCAAATGTAGAAACTAAGTGATGAATTGAATTGATTAGAACAATGGAGTCTTAGTTCCACAGTGACACTGGGTCTCTGCAGCCTCTCGTCTTGTTTCCTCTCCGAGCTACAGAAGCTTTAAAGCGTGTTCTGATCATATTTATAACATCACTGTGAGTTTTTAAAATACTTGAATGTTTTGAGAGAATCTTCTCACCGTGAGGTCACATCAGATACGAGCCTGTAGTGAGACTTCTTTCCTCCGTCACCGAGATGAAGACAGAACTTTGAAAATCTCATCTTTTATGCAGACACAAACAAAAGTGCTCCGAAAAAATTCGCAAGGTCAAGATAGAAGTCTTGTCGTCAACCGTGAACTTCTTAGAAGTCTTAAAGAAGTTATTATTCACAGTCAGGAGATAGTAAAGTGAAGGTTTTACTCTTCACTCTTTTATACACATTCAAGAAACGAGGCGGAACAACCGTCCTGAAGAGGCGTCCGTGGATTTATTCCTTCAGAACCAGGTATTTTCCTGCAGTTTCATTTACGTTATGTTTAATTTGGTCATAATTGAAGTTGTTTGCCTCCATAGATCACTGCAGTTTCAGTCCAAGGTACATTTGAAATCCGTGTTCTTGAGATATCGGTTTCAGAACAATGGGACATTTGGACAGACGACCAGAAGGCATGTCTCTGGCCACTGTCGCGGTGCAGAGGCGGTTAAAACCGTGGGACTGAACTTGACACTCGCCCGTCCACTGCTCTGCTGTGTCCATCTCCACTAACTCCGCTCACGTCTCTCTCTCGTGAAATCCTTCTGTGCTGGCGCAGTCATATCTCCCTCATTTCCCATGCACGGAGCATGTTATTTGAAATTTTTAAAAAACGGGATTGTTTCATGCAATTTCATCAGACCTGCCTGCGCAGAGGAACCCGGAGACAAAATTAGCTTGTGTATGAAACGAGGATCCAAGGTAACGTGGTCGTCATACGTGGCCGTTCACCAATTAAACCTCCTGATAATTCTTTCTATTCCTGGACGAAGTGACAAACACATTTGAAAACGTGCCTCCGTCGAATCGTGTGTCGTTAAAGAAGATGTCTCTTTTCTCTGGTGTTAACAGTGGACACGTTACCTTCTGTTTTCCTCTGAGTTTGTGTGTCAATTAACAGCTCTGACGACTCTACCTTGTTAAAGGTGTCATGATGGCTTCATTAGTTTGTCATCTCTTTTAACGAAGCACAATAATTAAGGTGTCGGCGAGCGGAAGTCTATTTTTGACTCTCCTCTGACGGTCTGTAATGAGGGGAGTGGGATCGGACGCAAAGTTTGTTGGCAACAGAATCACTTCAACGTCTGGCTTCCTGTATCTTATCGTACAGCCGTGATGAGTCATCACAGTGTTGAGTCAGCTATTTCGAACTGTATTCGATTACTAATTACTTTCCTAATTACTCCAAAGTAATCAAACTTTGAAGCATTACTTGTAACTTCACTTTAATGATGTGAAACGACTCCAGAGCCTCCACACCTACACCTTCTCCTGTATTTAGCGCACTAGAAATAGAAAGCGAGTCATTGTGGTGGCAACGCAATCACTGCAGGATTATGACCAGAGGGAAAACTTCATGTTATCTGATTTTATTATTTTTAAATAAACGGAACACTACATTTAATGTAACGAAAGACTGTCCCACCAGAGACGTCAGATTTTACAATACACCATATAGATCATATATTATGTTAAAATATCACATAATTAATGATGCATGATAATAATTATCATAATATTTCCACAACACTTCATCAATAATGTGTCAATGAAACACCAAACCAGTTAAAACTCCCACAAACTATATGTGTTTGATGTATCTGGGAGGTCATATAAATAGTTGATGGAAGCGTTTACTGATTTGAATGTAACCATGGCAACAAAAGTCCCATGACTCCAACAAAGCGTTCACTTTAACCCAAACCTTTATCTCTTCCTCGTTTTTTAATCCCAGACCTCAGTCGCAGCAGAGACACATCAGGAAACTGTTTTTTATTCCGGCAGCGGTGATTTGTGATGTTTTTATGTCGGACACTGAAAAATGAGGCCGCGGGGCTGAATTCATAAAAACTATTGATCAGAAATTGAACAAAAAGATCAACTCGTGACGTCAGAGTTTCACTGAGGAAAACTAAAGTTCACACAAATAAGCCTCCTTCGTTAACATTCACTCCCTCATCAGGGTCCTGAGGTGCAACACATGTTCCTCTCACAGCTGCAGCTCTGAAACACACACAGACGGTTTCCTTGTTCGGCTCATAACCAGCAGCGTGAGGCAGAGTTCATGAGACCTTAACAACATCACGCATTTGAGATTTTATAAACATCTTTGTTGAGGGTTTAATATAATCCACAGAGGCCGGCTCAGATCAGATCAGCGCTGCAGCCGACTCCGTCATGTGCCTTCTATTTAATTACAGGCCGGGTCTGACGCCTTGTTGATTTACTGTGGGCCGGTCACTCCTGAAGACTTACGGCGCCATCATTTCTCCATGACGTGTCATCAGTACATGTGATTTACGACAGTTGTTAAAAGTATTGACACGAGCAGAAATGAAATATGACCCGACGGTGATGCGGCAGGAGGTCACACGAGACAGACGTCGTGCGGATGATCACTTGTTTTAAATGTTGGAGACACGTTAGAAGAACAAAAGAAGTGAAAGTTTGGATTTTTGGTTGTAATTGAATGAAGATTAGTCTGAAGCCGCCCTCACAGAAGCTCCTGATGTCTCATGTGATGCTTCTCTTTGAAGCCTGTAGGAATTTTGGGTTCGTCTCGACAAGAGCTGTAATTATGTTTCCCTGTAACGCTCAGTGAGAGTGAAGTACGAGCTTCAGAGGGGAAAGTAAAGCAGCGTCTGGTCGACTCGAATCCCATCAGACAAGAGGAGTTATTACCCTCAACTCATTTTCCCTCAGAATTCCAACTTTACTTCATCAAGATTTTTAATTTGACTTCATCAACTTACAGATTTGATCCGGACGCAAAACTGTGCAGAAAACATGCAGAGCTACGTCTGTGACGCCAGAGGATCCGGGGTTTCACGTTCACAGTCACATCAACAGACGCACTTCAGTCAAGGTTAAGCACGGATCATATATGATGACATATCACCTAATAAATGAAATACGAGCTTTAGCTGGAGCGTAGAGGTCTCACACTGTAAGACCTCACACGTTATTCCCCCTGATCCATTTTTACGTTCAGATTTCCAGGTCACATCAACTTTACTTCATCAAGGTTTTTTAATTTTAATTTCCAAAAGCTTAAAAATGCATTTTAGACAAGAAAACATGTCACGATATATTTATGAACAGCAGAGGAACCAGGTTTCAGGTTCAGACGCACTTTAGTCGGTGATAAGAATAAAGACGGATCATATATGATGACTTGTGATTCAGAACTAAAGACATGAAAGGTGATTCCCCTGAACCTCATTTTCTCTCTGAACTCCAGGTCGAATCAACTTTACCTCGTCAAGATATTTATCTTGAATTAAAGATAGTGCAAAATGCATTCAGGTGCAAATCTAATGCAACCTCCAGAGAACATGTGGTTTCTGCTCTGACCTGTGAATAAATGCGAAGCGATATAAAGCAGGAGAAACCCCGCTGACATTTCACTGCCCTCCAACATGGAGCACTTTGAAAAACACAGAAAATAATGTTGGAGCACGGACACGGAGCCAGAGGAGCTCTTAGTGCAAGAGAAGGTGCAGCCTCCCCACCCCACCCCCACCCCCCTGCATCTTTATGCCTCCAATACCGAGTCAATTAACCTAATGGAAGTGGCAATTAATTAACTCTGCAAACACAATGATTAAGGACCTGACAATCAAGTGAGTGGCAGCGGTTTAAGTGATGCTGATTTAGACGTAACGACTTCCTGGATCCACTCTGGTGCAAGAAAACAAAAAAAAACAAAACCACACACACATGCATTTCAAAACAAAAGCACTTCGGTTCCTGTCTTTTCTGTCTCACAGCTGCAGAAACAGAAAAAGGAGCCGAGCGGACTCGAGGCCTTACCGTGTTCCGTTGCCCGTTGGCTCCTATTGGTCCCCTGAACACCCCCTTGATGCTCCTCAGCTGTCCGTCTCGCAGGTGGGTGGAACTGATCACGATGTAGTAGCACGCCATTGGATGTAGTTTGAATTCATATGTTTAACATATCAACTTATTTGTCTCTTTTTCTAATCTGGATGCTGAGGAGAAAGTCTTTTCAACTGCCTCCTCTCCTCCTCCGTCTTCTTGTGTCCTCCTCAACTCTCCGTCACTCCATCCCCCCTCCTCTGTTGTATAAAGTAGAGGAAAGAAGAAATAGCAGGTTCCCCTCGCCGCTCTGATGTATTCTCTCTCTTCTCTAAGTTTTCGACTCTGCCTCCTCTCCTCTCATCTCCCCTCAGCCTCTGTCTCTTCTTGAATATTTCACCCTCCTGCTCCTCCTCTCTTTCCACTCTTATCCTCCCTAAATGTTTTTTTTATTCCCCTCGTTCTTTTTCCTGTCAGATTCCTCCTTTTCCCTTTAAATCTTCCTCTTCCAGTCTTCTCCCCTCCAGATGTTTTGCTCCCATCTTTCATTCATCAGTCTCTCCCTCCCTCTCTCCCACTCCTCCCTGGCTTTCTTGCTGAGTCTAAATCTCTCTCCCCTCTAAAAAAATCTCAGCTGCTCATTGATCAGTCTTGCGGTTCCTCTAACTATCTCCCGTCCGCTGCATCCCTCCCTCTCCTTCACTTCACAGTCTCTCCAGCAGCTTCCCTTTTGTTTTCTTTGTCTCTCTCTCTCTCTAAGTGGAAGGGAGGGATACTTTTTCCTCCTCCTCCTCTTCTCACTATCTTCCCATCTCCTGTCCTCGTCTCCTCTCTCCGTCTCTTTTTGCTCTCTGCCTCCTTGATAGTGCTGAGGAGAAGAAGAAGAAGTACTCAGTCTTCTCCTCCCTCTGTCTGCAGGCGTGCAGCTTCCTCTCAGATGCTCCTCTCCTCTCCTCTGCTGCGCTGCATGTGTTCGCTCTCCTCCCTCTCTCCTCCCTCTCTCCCTCTCTCTCTCTCTCTGCTGATCTCTTGCTCTGTGGCCAGCAGAGTGGTTTGCTCCTCAGTTACCCGCGGTTACCATCTGCCCTTTTAACGCATGGAGTGCTGACGCTTGCTCTCTCCTCCCTCCCTCTCCATTCCCAGCCCTCCCCTCCCCATCCCTCGACCTCCCCCTCCCTCCATCTCTCTCTGCGCTCGCTGTCTTTCTTCTCTCTTTAATCATCTCCTTCTCTCCCTCCTTCTCTTTTTCTCTCAAGCCAAAGGAGGCAAGCTCCACCTACTGGTAAGCAGGAAACATACAAAGAGGGAATGAAGGTGAGGAGACAGCGGAGCAGGAGGAGGTACAGGACGTCTTCTTTATGTTGTGTGAGGTCGATCACGTGCTCAAGTGAAATGCACAGAATAGTTTGGCCCACTGATAAATCATTACATATATAAAATATATTGTTTCAACTACAGTTAGGACAACAAACACAGCAGGTGAAGCAATTTCAGACGTCAACTTCAATCAATCATTCGATCGTTTCGCTTCAAGAAATTAGATCGTGTTAAATATCTGAAACCCGAAAATGTGCTGAACACATGCAGCGTGTGGAGTGTTTCCTGTTTTACAGCATCGTTGTGCCAAACTATGAACAAATGCACAGTGATATATTTAAACCGTGTTTCAGTGCAGAGCCAGAGGAGCAGACGTGTCCGGATAATCTCCTGAAACTATCCAGAGTACGTGAGAGGGCAGATGTCAGTGGCTGCGGACGTTCACAGGAGCATTTCTGGCTCCTTTGGTGTTCGAGTGAGATTAATCGGAAGTTTCCTTGTGAGCGAGCGGACGTGTTGATGAAGTTTCTAACAGAGACAGATAAAAAAGAATGCAAAGAAAAAACAAAGAATACAAATATCTCAGGACAAAAAATTGATTTGGTTGGTCCCAGCGGGGACAAGCTGCAAACACAGCACTGACATATGATCCAATTTTAAGGTTTCATGGGAGACACTTGCTTATTTGCACAACATCAGAATTCATTGGGAGTCGTGTTTCTGCCAAGATGATGAAAGAAAGTCCAATATCCTTTACTTTGTTTTATTCACCTCCAGTTGTTGGCGATAAAGCAGCTAAAAGCTCCACCATGAGTTCAACAACTTTGTCTGTGGCGTTCAGTGAGGTTCTATTAGACAGCAGCCGCCCGCTGCAGCCGAGAACTGAAGCTAAAACAATGAGCTGAACGAAGGGTCGGTCGAAGGGTTAGAGCTCAAACCACTCGAGCAAACATACCTCCGAGCAGCAGGCTTCTGGTACGACTCCCAGCCGGCTGCATCGCTTACTGCCTCTCCTTCCTCTCCTCTCTCCTCTCCTCTCCACGCTTCTGTCTCTCTTCACATTCACTTTCTAATAAAAGCACAAAAGCCAAAAATATACTGAAGACAGAAATGTTGAGAGTGAATCATATTTTCTTCTGTGTTGCTCTTTATTATGATGAGTTAAGACGTTTAAAGTCCAGAAATGCTCCGGTGCCATCCATGAGAAAGATTTGCTCCATGTCCCATCCACAAACACGGAGGAGAAATGATGTGGCTTCACTTTCGGCCCGCTGTCATGTGGTCCATCTTTGTTTACAGTCTACGACCTTCATCTAAAATTGTTTTTATGTGAAACCACGACCTTTCTCCACTTTAATGAAATACATTTCAGCCGTTTTCAGACGTGACCTTTGTTGGTTTGCTGCTTTTCACACATGCACAACACAGCAGGAGGTTCTCTGCACAGACGCGTTTTATTTTTACTTTTTTATATTTTTCTTTCACATCAGACTCTCCTGACTTTCTAAAGACTTTATTTCAGGAGGCCAGGAGGAGAAAGTCTGCAGATAATCCTGAGGCGCTTAAACCTCAAATGAACCTCAACATTCTGGTGTGAGATCATTGATCAGATCGGTTTATGTGCCCTTCATTTAACAAGGCAGGAGGTCAGGTTGTGGATCAGTGTTGCAGTTCAGCATCGAGTCCAACAATCCTGCAGGACTCATCACAGACCTGTAATTAACATAACGTGACCTTAAAAGAGTAGCTCACTGATTTAGCTCTGCTCGGCTGTGACGTCGTCACACTCAGGACGGACAGTTTAAAATAAAACCATCGTAATCGATGCAGCAGAACCTCATTTACTGTCTTTGTTTTGTTCCACACGTTCCTTTTCCTTGTCAGATCGTGGCACCAACATTACTCATAATGTCATTCTGGCAGATCCCTGTGTGTTATGCTAGTAGCAGCTAATGTAGTCTCCGTCCTGCGGCCCGAGGCAGAGACGAGGAGCGAGCTGCAGAGGTCTGACCTCACACCCCCAGACTTTCCTTATTAAATCTGGAGACTTCAGACCAAACCAATATTTAATCAGACGTCACTCTGCTCCCCACAGAGCCACAGAGGGTTTTATATTGTTTCCACATATGCAGTAGCTTAGAGGAGGACTCACCAACACCTGCAGACTTTCAGCTGCACAGTTGGTGGAGTTCCCTGTAAAATGTTTTAACCTCAGCAGTGTCAGATCACACATCATACATCCAGCTTTAAAGCTTCCAAGTTACAAGTCATCATGGGAAATCAATTACACTTGGTTTGAAATGTTTCTATCGAGCGGCTCATGGCGAGAATGTTTTGAGGAATATGTTGCGTTACCTCACGTTGAAGAACCCGACACTCTCGTCATTAATGTGATACAGACAACAACGCCCCTATAATCACATGACACTGTTGCATTATGGGAATGAGAAACTAATGCAAGAGAATTCAGAAGTAATTCTTGTTGTGACCCTTCGGGAGCCCCGAAGTTTTTCATCCGTCAAAATCCCAGTTTTATAACCAGAAAGGTCAGAAAGGTCACAAACAAATTCCCAGTTTACTCCAATTATCTGCAGCTAAACCTTTAAATTTATAAAATGAGACGTCCACAACAGTCGTGCGCTGCATCAAAAAGCCTGCGTGTTCAGGAAACAGCAGGTCAAAGGTGAACATGGAGGAGGGCTGGGAGCAGACTGTGGAGTAGTTTAGCAGAGGAGGCCCTAAAGTGGAAGATCAGTGGAGGAGGTCAGAGACACGAAAACAATCGATTCTCCACGAGAGATACAGAATCTGTGCTTCATGCCAGGAAGACGCTGAGCGAGCAGATGAGACGGAGCTGACTCACACAGAGAATCACAAAAATCAAGATGGGGAGAAATAGAGACATGTAAAAAAAATCCTCCAGATCCCACCACAGTTTACGTGAGTGGAGCTTTCCAGACGTCAGAGGCCAGAATAAATCTTTTAATTCAGTTTAGTTTGATGAGGGAATCTGCAGCCTGGCTTTTCAGATCATCCACTATGTGTGAGGGACAGAGTGAGTTATTCCACCTGAGTTTAAACGTTAATCCTGTTTCTAACCTTGTTTTCTTTCTCCGGGGGAAATGAAAGTAAAGTAGAGTATCAGAGACCAATTTCTCTTTATTCTCTTTGAACGCACAATTAGAGGCAGCAAATGCATTAAAGCTGCAGTTACAACTAATTCCTGGATTTTATCATCCATTTCATCTCCGTCTACATCGAATGTTCCTCTTGCCTTTCATTCAGAACAGTCAGTGCTGTTTTCATGTGGACATGTTGATTCTGAGCCTCCTGTTTCAAGCAGAATGATCATAACTTCATTTATAGTTTTCCGCTCTGCCTCTTTGGGGAAAGTCTGGTTAAGTTTAATTGTGGGTGTAGTTGGAGTTTTCCTCAGTTTAAATCTAAACTAGAACAAACGTACATGCGTTCACGCTCCAGTAATTTATGGTGCGAGCAAAGGACGAAGTCAGACGACGTGATCATAGAACGATAACGATCACAATAACGACACTGGGCTGACAGATGGCCCCTGTTCACTGTACTGAACTTACTGAATGAATACATGAGTTAATCTCTGAACGTTTAAATCTGTATTTTTAACCATCGACTTTAAATTTCAATGATGTCCCACAAAAAGGTGCCCGGAGTGTTAATGCCCTATTTCACTATGTTAAACATCCTGGATCTGCTTGTTTATGTGAATGCATGAATGTTTTCTTCCTCGGGTCACGTCCCACCTCTCCGCAAAAACTTCATGGAAAACACATCAGTAGTTTTTGTGCGACCCTGCCGATGGATGATGAAAACATCACCTCCTTGGTTCGAGGTACAAATCATCTTTTAATGCTCCGGGAGAGATTAGGAAGAATTATTAAATCATCAATGACTGATTGGATGGATTAGATGATGTGAGGTTAGATGATGCGTGATGAGCTGTAACGGCTCCACTGCTGCAGCACAGATTCTCACTCTTAGTCCCTCTGTGGTTTGAACGTTATCAGTTCCATGTAGAAAACCAAAATAATAATAAGGAAACAAGATTAAAGAGTTGTGTTTTTTTCTTTTTGTATTTTGAGCAGTTTTTAATATTCATGTGCCTCCCGGTGATCGCACATCCCTGCCGGACCTTGTTAAGTTAAAGTGCACCTAACGACCTTTCGCGAGAAAGGACAAGCTGCAACGCTTCACTGCACCAGCTCCTCTGCAGCTCGCAGCAAATTTGCAATTTTCTTTAAAAGTACACAGCCATTAACTTTAGGTTTATCATCTCGGGGGTTTGTTGGAGTTTTGTCGACTGCATTATTCAGCAGCGATGAGGTTTACTGAAGGTGTCCCGGCAGAAACTACACCCACATTATTTTGGTAATCTCCATCTGAAAGCCTCGCTGCATGTCTAACTGAAGCCCGGCGCTCTGACTCTTTATTTTCTGCTGTCGCACTTATGTTTTCATTCAGTGCGAAACCAAACAATTCCTCTCTTGTGTCTCGCCGAATGAGTCTGAATCACCTCATGTGCGGCGACGGTGGCTCGTGGAAGTATATCCTCAATAGGAAATTATCAAGACCCTACCCCCCCACCAGTTTCTGTCTGGTTTATTGACCGAATATTGTTGGTGAGCTTCGAGAAAATTAAAGTCCACAGTAAGAGGCTTATCTGATAAATTCCCTTCTACTTTGGGTCACATTATCCAACACTATCAGCCTGAAACCCTCCCACAGACACACGAGCGTAACACAGAAACTATTCGAATTTTTTTACTCTCTGTTAGATTCTTATCGTTTCCAGATCACCGGTTTTTGAATATGCACATCGATGTTTTTCCTTGCATCCCATCATGCAAAGTTTTTCTGCAACTAGCACATTTATATTTTGTTCGCGTTTTCAATGCAACAGACAGATAACGTGCGTCTGCAGCTGGATTAGGATTCCTGCTCAGGGGCTGAGGAGATAAGAAGGAAATCATTAAAATAAGCAGTGTAGTAATAATAATACTGTGTGTTAAATGAATGCTTGGTTTATTTAATAATATGCACCCACAGGGAAACTAATTATAGATTCATGCTAATGCTGCCATTCATTTTCAACATCTGCACATTTGAGGAGACAAAGAAAAATATGATGTAGTGCAGTTTATTAGTGAGCAGATGTTTTCCAGCGTGAAGAGCGGAGGAGGATCTTTTCTTTTTACGTGGCTGTGGTCACGTTTTGTACATGTGTGTCATATGTACAGATGAAGTGAATCTTTCTTGTGCCATAAGACAACACGAATCAAAAATCTGTATTTTTTGATTAAACATCTAACAAACGGCAACGGCCCACCTGTAGAGACCATATCAACAATGAAGCTGAAACACTGGAAAAATCTTTTATTCTTAAATCTGTGACCATGACGGTTACACAACATGTTTTATTTCTATCTTTCACTTTTAATCTTAAATTTCTCTATTAGCTTTTGTTAGTGTTATTATCCTTTAATTCGTCAGCCGATACTGTAAACTGTATTTACCGAGACGAACTAAATCTAAATCTGTAAAAAGTAAACACACTAATTGCATGTATTTAATTCACAGATTTACATAAACATTTACATAGGATCGTCATGTGATTACACGTGATGAGTCTTTTATGAATGCGGACGGCGTAGCTACACGCAGCTGTGCTTATATGCATATATGTGCTCATAATGTCGAGACACTGCAGGTCGACCGGTCACAATGTGTTTTATAACAGCTCCGTCCATTATGTCCATTTTGAGACTGGACTGTTCTTTGTGGATGAAAATAACAAAGCACACACCGGATTCTCCATCGTCCATCAAACCTGATGAGACCCAACAGGACAGATGACGCTGCTTTAGGGGACAGTGTTCGTCCTCCTGTGTGTAACCTGGCTCTCACATCACTGTCATGTTCGGGCCTGCGCAGACCGAGGACGCGGGACCCAGGAGGCCCTGCAGATGGGACAGCTTGTGCCGTACTGTGGGCCGTCACATCCAGACGGCAAAATGTCACAAAAATGTCAGGGGAAGCCCGGTTGGCTTCAGAGCGGATACTCTTCAGTGATACACCAGTGAACAACACCAAAGAAAAGGCCAAACTCCCCTACACTCAAGTGCTGTCACAGACTGGGGCCATTAGTCACACACTGCCTCACTGTTTTATTTGACTCTTATTCAAAGCTGAAGACTGTAACAGGCAGAGATGTGTGTTTATTGAAGAGTTGTGCACATGATATTTATGTTCACTGTGACAGAGGACTGCTCTTTGCAATCAGTCCGTGGCTTTAAAGGGCTGTTAAATAATCTATGACCTTTATAGGACCAGTAGGAATTGCAACAAATTTGGCAGAAGTTACCTCCTCCTCTGAGTCTCTGGCTCAGAACCAACCTCCCTCCTTCCGCCTCCGCTGGGCGACAGCAGCCTGCAACTGACGCAAACTGCAAGGCTGCATTTTCACACAGGCGACAACGAGAGAGAGCAGAGATCCACCACAAATATCCCGTTTAAAGAGATAATACATCATGAAAGCTCCTTCTGCACGGAGATACAATTATCTCCAAAGAAAATAGGGAATGAACTGTGCAGTCGGTGACTAACTGTCTTTATGCTGCTACACAGAACCCTGAACTGTTGCTGTTGTCGTGACCAATGATGAGTCCCAACCACTGCTGCTGCTGCTGCAGACCCAATTAACTCAGATTAATCTTTTGGGGTCCATGAGTATCTGCACCAAACACCAAACCAACCCACACGTTAGTATTGGAGATATTCTGATCCTGGTATCGCTACGGCTCAGTTTGAAATCCAGCTCCTCCAGATGTTCCTACACTTTCATTTCAAAGTAAGACGTGAAAACAGGCATTTTAAAAACAAACTAACGAAAGCAGCCGGTGAAGACGTCACACGCTCACTGTTATTACTCAGAATTGAAGATAAACTATGGCCATTATGTACATTTCAACGTATTTATTTTACTTATCGAAAGCTTTTCTTTGTGTAAATCGCACACAGCTCCATATGCAGAACATCTATATAGATGTGACGTGCGTGTGGAAATGAATCACTAACAATAATTATCAGTGAATGATCTCAGCTGAACAACGAACAGAAACCTGCCCGACGCACTTCGTCTCCGTTTGAACAGTTAAGACCAGAATACGACACCTTTGTGTTCTGTGGGTTTTCAGTGTCAGGAGCTCGTCCCTGAAGTGTTTGTTGATTAGAATGTGAACCAACTTCTCCTTCAGTATCTAACAAGCTAATTACAGACTAATTATTTCCAGGCAGCGGGGTTAGTTACCTTTGCAAAGTTGAGAAATTGATAGAGACAATGCAGCAGTGAGGTCTAACATTATAATTGATGCTGTAGCTGCTTCTATAGATGAGAAAGAAAAGAAGCTGAAGCTCAGGAAACCTGGTTTCGTCTTTTAATTATAAAACTGAGAAAATACGTGTCTCCAAAGTTAACAAAACTAATTACAATTCAGTTTAGATGTTAACTTTAGAGAAGAAACACACACTGGGCATTCGGCAAATAGAAATAAAGACAATTTATGTTTCTCTTTAGTCTGATGAGAACATCCATCAACATAACAACACCAAATCACGATCTCCACAACAATGAAACTAACTGAAATAAGTGATGGTAAAAAAACACGAGTCCTTTAAGTCCATTGTTGTGTTACGCACTCTCCGGTTTGTAGCTCTGTAGCTGCTGGAAGAATCCGGGGTTTGGACGAATCGATGGCCTCGCCAGCTTCACCTGCCTGAACGCATCATCGAACACCAGCCCCTCCCGCAACATCAGGTAGCCAATCACAACGGAGGAGGAGCGTGACACGCCGGCGTTACAGTGGACCAGCGCGACGCCACCCTGTGGAAAGAGGAGAGGAGCGTAACACAGGAAACAGAAGTTCGTGAATCGATTATATTATATTATAATATTTTATTTTGATTTAACCGCCAGCGTTTTCAGCCATTCTGCAGACAGAGTGTTTGAATGTCTGCGGTTCCCTTCACCCAGTGTGAGACACTGGCAGAAATTCACTACATCTGCTATTTGGAATTACAAGTCAGAGGCTGACGTGAACGTTTTTCCACTTGGTTGCTCATAATTACAGTCGTGAACGCAGCACAGAAGAAAAAGAAGCAGGTTTTTTTTCTCTTTTCTTTACAACCCCCAGATAAACAAGTAGGACCTAAAATCATGTTCACACTACAAATTCAGTAAGTTCAGATAACGAGCAAGCTATTAATGCAGCTACACACCGAACAACAGGTTCAGCTATTGAGCATCGGATTAAAAGAGTGAGTTCACTTTGACTACAAACCTTTTTAAACTGTTTTATCTGCAGAGATCTTAAGATATTCACATCCGAGAGTCATGCTGCTGGTATCTGAGCGTTAAATCATCCACATGGCCACTTGTCATGTTCTAATAAGTGAGTGTAGTGTTCATGCTGATGTGGCTTCACAGCTTGAACAGTTACTCTTTCATACCTTCTGCAATTTCTGACTCGTCGCCATCTCTGAACGCAGCATTAGACGGAGCGTGAAGTGCACGAACAAATCTGTGTGTGTGCACCAAAAATTTGTGATATGATTAATATTAATGCTGATGTAATTATTTTACCGCCTCGAGTGTCTGGCTGAGGATAAACTTTTAAAATTCCAGCCACATCTTTAGACAATGCGTGCAAGGCCCTCGGCTCGGCTCTGAAGCTCGGCGTATTGACACGTTCGCCTCGTGCGTGAAACACGTTCGCCTCCCGTCGCAGAATGCCGTCTCTGCTCGGGCTGAAGTGCAGCAGAACAGAAACTGTGGCGCTCATTTTGATTTCACATGTCAATCAATACCCATTGAGGGGCAGAGGATTTGAATTGGCTGAACACACGCATGCAGCACTCTGGTTGCTGTAATTGACACGTTATCACTGTTATTTGCGCTGTAATCCAATCAGACGGTTCCTCGGGGTAAGATACAATCAAGTGAAGCACATATAGAACACACAGAGAACAATATCAGTCCTTTATAGGTTTCTATCAATCAGAAAGGTTTCTCTGCTCCGCTGTTATATTTCTGCTGGGGCCTGCAGTCAGAACAGTTACAGATCAGCTCTTGTTTTCTTTCCTCTGAAAGAAACACAAACACAAAACTTCTACAGACTGAAAATTGCCTGAGCCAGATAATCCATCACCGCAAACATGGAGACTTAATTTGGTTTTGTCAGAGTTTCCTGTTTTGCTGTTATTTCATTGCACCGGAGTTGAGTGTTTTCATATCAGCGCTCACATCACATTATGTTCTGCTTACGGACAATCTCCTGACACACACACGCACAGAGGGGAGGAAGTGCACGTCTCTACCAGGAAATAATCCCTTCATATACAGCATGTGAGGGGAAACTAAATGCAAGCCGAAAACATTTTGACTTTCAACATTAAATGACCCCAGCGTGGTCTTTTAATAGGTGTTCCCGACCACCCGCCTCGCTCTGTGCCTGGCTACAGATAGCGGATGTGTGTAAATGCAGCACAGTGCGGTGGCAGGAGAGCTGTGTGTGCACACCCACGGGTTAAATTAGCCGGCAGATATAAAAGACGGCGTTTTTAGGCTGCGTGAGCCTCCTGAGGGAAAGTAGAGCCAGAGAAGGTTTAAATTGATCTTTTAGTTTTTCACCTGGTGAAACAATTAAAAAGGAATGTTCGTGTATGTGTTGTGTTTATGTGTCAGCATCTGTCAGTGGTGGAAAATGATGAAATACATGAAGAAAAGTAGAATCTAGATCAAACTTTGCTCAGATATGTCAATCGCATTCCACTCTGTTCACCTCTTCAATGAATTATTGTACATTTGCTCTAATTACACGTGTTTTGTTTGATTGAGATATTCAGTAAAAATCAACACATCAGAGGATTAAAGCAACACTTTGTCACTTTTACTGAGCAACAGCGCCCTCTGTAGCCCCATGTGGTGATTAACGTAGTTGGGCTCCATGTCCATGAAGTGAAACACAGATGAGGGGGTGGATATTACCCATGATCCCCCTCTGTAACAAATCCACCAAACTCTCTTTAGAGAATTCTTTTTCTGTCTGAATATTGGAGATAAAAGCTAAACTTTTTTCCTCCTCGACGTGAGACACTTAAAGATAAAAAAAACATTTCACGTACGTCTTCTAAATGAGGACGTGAACGAAACAGACGAAACAGAGCAGCAGCACGTTCGGGGGCAGTGCAGCCGATACGGAATGAAACACATTTTAATCAAACTGCTGATTTAAGTTAAACAAGTTGTGGAGTGCTGCTCTAAAATTCAGCTTTTAAAATAAACTGAAAACGTATATGTATGAGAATGATGTATTTCAGGGGGTTTTGAAGAGTGAGACTGCCGGCCTCCCCTCAGACCCCCCTGACCCCCCCTTGGTTAACTGTATTTGATCCCACAGACACTAAACAGCTGAGCCTCATATTGCTGTCGGACAGAGCTTGAGACCACAACAAACATAAAACGGTTTGTCCTGCAGCTCTTATTAGTCTCTGACTCCGCGAATGTGGGAAAAACAGTGAAATCTCTTTATCCATATCACACATGTTTGAGTTAATCCAGAAGATCTCCTTTCGATAGCTAATGTAATAAGTAGTGTAATATATTTTTCACTGAGCCTCCCCTGAAACAGCTCTGAGACCCTGTGGAGGCCCACCTACCACTGTGAAAACCTCTGATGTATATTAATCCAATTACAGACGACATAAACACACAAGACTGACGGCTGCTTTCACTTTCAGGGTCTTCGACTCACTTTGATGATAATACTGATGATTTTTGACTTAAAGGGATATTTTTACATTTTGAGAAATATGTTTCTTATTCCTTTCTTGCCTGAAGACTGACTCGTCTCATGTCTGTACAGTAAATATGAAGCAACAGCCAGTCGGCTTAGTTTAGCATTAAGATTGAGAACAGCCTGTTTCTATCTTCAAATCTGACAAAGTCCATTTACAAGAACCTCTAATGCTCATTAAATAATAGTCTGAATCTTGTTTGTTTGTCTGTGCAAACACTGATATGTGATAACAACAATTTGTATTTGTTTCCATGCTGAATGTGTCTCTATCTAGCCAGGACCTGTCACAAGTCAGCAGAGACTGCAGGAAAGAAAACTGGGAGCAGCTTCTTATTCAGTGTCATTTAAAATGGTTGAGTTGTACATACAGCCTGCATGCATACATATAAAACGTCACCACATCTGTCCAGTAGTTTTTACATAATCTTACAAACAAACATAACGACAGGGATGAGAACACAACCTGCTCTGTGAGTCATAAAGACTAAAAGTGTTTGTGTAGTGTAACAGAGAAAGTCTTCACCCTTCATTTAAAAAGAAGTGAGTTGCAGCAGGCCTGCACTTCTCCGGTAAGTTTACTCCAGCATAGAAACTGCTTCTCTATATTTTCACCAGCAGATCAGAAATGTGTTTTGGCCCTAAACCATCCTGTGCTTTTCAAACCAACAGCAGGATTACGAAATCAATTCTTCAATGGACAGAAAGCCCGTGTGAAGATCTGAGAACTGGACCAGCGTGATCTACTCGGACTCGAGCTGCAGAATTCTGAATAGTTTTTTTTTTTAAGAAAGACCTGTAAACACAACATTACAGCAGCAAAGTTTATTCCAAATCCTGCAGAGACAGAAGTCCTTGAAGATGTTCTTGATTTTGTGATCGTCTTAATGTGACTGTTTCAGGTCTCAGTTTAACTTCATCAACTGAACCTGAGCGACGACTTTCAATCTTTATCTTTGTTGAAGTAAAGAAAAACCCTCACTGTTGTTGTGCTTGCTCAAAGCTTAGTCATGCAAACTTGTACGTCAACTACACAGTTATGGAAACATATTTTGTTGTTTTCCATAATTCGAGCTAGTGGGAGAGTGATGAGCAGAGGAGGCCCCAGAATGGACCCACTTATTATTTTTTTAGAATTTAAACACTTAGTTTTTTTCCCAGCCAGTCTGGTATTATATTTTGGTGTGACTCTGTTCAATGCAGCTCTCAGATCCAGTAATATTTAGACTTGGATATTGTCCCTGTGTTGTTTAAATGAATGAATTCCAAGACTCTACTAGTATTCGTCCACCTGTCAACTGTCAATGTGTGAAGCAAGTCGTGTGTGTACCTGTTCTCGAGCCTGGTCTATGAAGGAGCTGCATTCCTCGAGATAAGAAGTGATATCGGTTTCTGGGAGGTCCAGGATCTGGAGTGTCTTGTACACCAGCTGATCTGGGAACAGGTTGTTTACTCCGTAGGCCACGTTGAGCACATGTGACACCTGACGGACACAGAGACAATGGGAGAAAATGACCCTCGAGCATTGGCTTGTTTTTGCTTTGGCAAGACTGTGAGACACATTCGCACGGTCGGCCACATCGATGACATGACACGGCCTGAACTTGGCTGAGGGAGCGGGGGCACAGGGACAGAGCGAGAGAGAAGGTGAGCGAGAAAAGGACGGGAGGGGGGGAGGAGACGGGAAAGAAGACAGATGGCTCCAATTCATTTTGCAGTACCTGTCTACTCTCACTTAAATATAGCTTACCTCAGAGGGCAGGATTCTCTCCTCCTCTGCATCTTTGAATTGTTCTGATGTCTCCTGCCTTTCCACTGTTCAACATCTAACATTGATTCTTTTCAGATAAAGGATGAGTCTGCTGTTATCAGTTTTTTCTTATTCTCGACAAATCCCAGGAAAATGGCTGAACCAGCAATAAACTGATCCAACTCCACTAACAAGTATTGTGCGAGTATCCAAAGTCTGATGTGTTGATCCCACGTACACGTCCCTGCTGCTAGAAATACAAGAGAGAGCAAAGCGTATTAATCCGCCTCTGAAAATAGACCCCAACAAATGCAGGATGTACTCGGGTCATGTTTACTCAAAACTACAATACCCAGCTGAAAAATCAATCCGTGCACTGAAATACTACCTAATTAATACTCTCACATTATTTTCAATCTCTTGGGGCAAAGTCAGCCACTTTAGGTCATTAACAACAACCAGCAAATCGAGCCAAATGTCAAGCAAATATATCGTTAACAATAAAAATGAGAATAATGGCAACATTTCTCTTTAATAAGAAGACGGGATGGGATAGAACACATTTCCTCACTAACTGAGTGTGTTTACGTGAACACTAGTATTCTGGTTACTGTCAGAAAATACCGGTTTTACTCGTTTATATATTTTATTATCAGTTTGACAGGGAGATTGTTAGTGTTAACATACAGTTAGTTCAGTTTCCATTTGTTATGTTCAAATTTCAAACTAAAGTAAATAGCAAACTTCATAAAACTGTACAACACTGAAATACTTTCACAAATATAAATAATACCCTGAGAGAAGAAGTGAAACAAAAACAAATGTCTTGACTTCTGCGATGCAGATGATCCACATTTTCTTTCTCGCTCTTCTCATCCATTTCTAAAGATTTGATGGAGAAGCTAAATCGAGCAGAGCTGCAGATGCTGCATCGTTCTCGCAGCCATAAAACAAACTGTGTTCATCCTCAGCCGATGCAGAAATGTGCATGAAGTGGGTTTAACATGTGGAAGAGTGGAAGACAATCTTACACGGACATGGATAATGGATAATATAAAGAACCATGCACACAGGGAGACGACTGAACGTGCATGTAAATGTCTTCATTGTGCATTGACTCTGCAGATTAAAGATTTGATTTCCTCACAAACTACACTTAACTATTACGGCCCTTTCATTCCGATACCGTTAAATGTTTATTAAACATTCTACCAGTGAGAGCAGGTTTTTATAAAGCATCCTCTGGGGCCCGCTATCAAATCTCCTGGGCTTTAAACGCTACCTGGTAATGTATGGTTTGGTTATTAGGCAGTCAAGGTTTCATCCCAGAAAGTGAAGGTATTTGTAATCTCTCCAATTCATCATTGTGAGACTGCACAGGCAGCAATATGCTGGTGCCTGGGAGCAGCCACTGCAGAGAGGAGTCGTCCCACTTCTCTGATGTGGAGGAGCAGCGCTGAGACTTACTGTAATCATTTACTCCCTCTACTGAGCTACACTGTCACTGCATGAGTCACGAAGCTCCTCCGGCTACTGGCTGGCTGCTGCCGACACACAAGAGAAGCACACGTACGCGGCTGCCTCTAATCTCATGTCACCACACATATCATCAGAACAAGGCAAGGGCATGCCCGCTCTATTGATCCCTCCGCACTGACCTTATATCTCTGCAGGGTGTCCGAGTCGTGGGCTGCATCCTGAGAGCCTGAAAAGACAGAAACAACTCTATGATTAAAAAAAATACTTTGAGAAACTAAACTAACCTCTTAAAGTGGAAAGTTAATTAGTGTGTACAGCCGGAAAAATTCATTATAAGAAATTCTGTGAGTTGCCTCTTGATCCATCTTTTAAATCAATTATTTAACCAAAATAACAAACATTTAGATTTTTTTCAGCCTCTATATTATGAGGATTTGTTGTTTCTTAGTTTTTTTGTAGAATTTAAGTTGAACATCCAGATAAACAGCTGGATGAACAAAATTAAAGCAGTCTCTTTCCGGCCTTATATGACGTCACTGTGACCTTTGACCTTCGAGCACCAAAATCTAATCAGTTCACGCCTTGACGCCAGCAGAACATTTTTATATAGATTGAAGAAATAATAAGTAAACTCAACGTGTCACCCAGGGCTCTAGAAACATTTGGCAGGTATTTATTTTACTTCCACACATTTAATCAACTGAACAATGAAGCAATTAATTGTAAAGAATAATTAACAGATGACTGATACTGAAAACTACTTGGTTGCATCTTTATTCCTGATAAAAAAAAAATAAACCAGAGAACGATCAGCGTATAAAGAGAGAAATCTAATCCCATGAACTGTCAATTCAGTGTTTTAAACTTCAGGAGCAGAAAGTAAAAGCCACAACAGTCTGATGTCAGTCAGCGGAAACCAACAGTGAAATGAACAAATGCTACAAAAAGAAACGGGAACGGGAATCTAATGAAAGTTGAGTCAACAGCCTTAATAAGAGCAAGAGCTTCAATGACTAATGCGGCAAAGGAAGCAGCTCTAAGACTAATAGAGGAAATAAAATCAGAAGGAACATACAACAATTCAAACTGGACGACCGTCTCTTTCAATTTGTCAGATACCTCTTCACGGAGGTCTTTAATGACAAGGGCTGGGAAATAATTATGAGAAAGAGACGAATGGAAACAGAATATGATCGTGAGCCTTCAGCAGATTTCCAGGGTGGATTCTCTGCAGCGGCTCACGGCTTTTAAAGTAGCTCATGTATGCACTCTTTGCATTCGCCAAGCCACTTCCACCTAATGCCAAATTCAGGGGGTTGAGGCGTTAATCTAAATCCGAAAGAATGAAGAGTCTTTGGAAACAAGCCAGCTCCGGCGCATGTGCCTCATCAGTGTCAAAAGAAAAGATTTGAACTGACACGTCTGTGAAATGATGCAGGATGCCAGGATTTTGAAAAACAATTTCAAACACAAATATGACATGGGAGCATGTTCAGTCTGCTTAACTAGAGAAGACACATTCCATCATCTTCTTCTTCTTCTTATAGCAAATGAATTATTTGAATTCTATATTTAGAAATAAAACTATATATTTGCTTGACGTTTGGCTCGATTTGCTGGCGGTTGTTAATGTCTTTAAGAGGCCGACTTTGCCCCGAGAGATTGAAAACGAAGTGAGACATTAATTAAGTCATTTTTTTTCAGTTTGTGGATTGATTTTTCTTGAGGGTTTCAACAGCTGCTTTCCAGTGAAACATCTATCTCCACGTTTGATCATTGTTAGGTTGTCGTGTGAATCAAGTGAAGGAGATGTGTATCTGTTCCAAGGTTTAAAACTTAAAAAAGGTTACGTTGTTGAATTAAATTCTCGCTTGTTGTTTTCTTTAATAGCCGTCTATAAAATATAACTTGCAATAAAAGTTTGACAACTATTCATTGTAACCCTACATGTATGTATGTGTATGTGTGTGTCAAAATAATAATCGAGGAATATTACTGTACAACCTCCTTCAGTCACTGAAATCCCAGTTTATTGCTAAGTGTGTATTTATATATATTCATGTGAAAAGAGGCTGCTCTCTCGTCAAGTTGAGTTACTGCTGGAAATTACATTGGAAATAATATCAAATGTATATTTTCATTTTTTAATGGAAGACTAAAGAAAACCACAATGACAAGAGGCAATTTCACCAATACTGCAGAAGCCGATCAGACGTACAACTGAGTGTCAAAACATGTCAACATGAATGTGGTGCAAGACACTTAATTTATTCTCGGGAGCTGTTGCAGAGGATAGTTAACTTGTACTTTGGGAAATCAGCAGCAGTTTTATTCGATTACAGCAGCGCTGAAGCCACATGTGAAGAAACTCACCTCGGTATAATCTAACAGATGTAATATTTCATTGATCCCTGCTGAGAAATTCTGCTCTGGATTCTCTCCAGCCGAGAGGTCAGAGCGCAGCGTTAGCTACAGGAGCGAACAGCACCCCAGCGCTGGGAGGAGGATTCAATGTCAGGCCCAAGGACACGTCAGCAGGACGGATACATGCTGACATGTGAGGGTGTCAACCTGCGTCCTCCAGCTGCAGAGCACCGCGCTCCCCGAGACGAATTCAAAATTAATGACATTGATTTATTTGTTATCAGCAGCGGACAGGAATACTGAAGTGACCGAGACTCTATGAAACTAACACTGTCGGACGCTCAACACCTCACAAGCTCCACTGAGGCGCCTGCTGCCGTAAACACGCGATAATATCTGTGTAACACGTGAACCTGACACTACCCAACAGAGAGTTATTATTATCTTCCATTAATCTGACGGTTGTGGCTTCATCCCCGGCTCCTCCAGTCTGCATTTCGACCACATCGTACCTCAACCTGCTTCTAGTAGCTGAGTCGTTGGTGTGTGAATAGAATGAACGAACGAGTGAACGTGACATTTAATATAACGAATGGTCGTTAAGACTAGAAAGGCTCCATATGAATACAGTCAATTTACCATTTACTAGAGGCAGCTGTTACAGTGGTGGTAGTAGCAGCTGCCGTAGAGTCTATATTGGTGGTATGTGTTTTAAAGACAGTAGTTCTAGTATTAAAGATTAGGAAATAAGTTTAAGTATAAGTACATGACCATATATATAAATGGTGATCATTTAATATCATGTGACCAAAGCTGTGATCTTCATGCAGAGACGCCTGAAATACAAATTCAATTTACTGATGGAGGCTGTGGATTATAAACCAAAGCTCCAAAACACCTGACAAGTGAACATTGAGTGTTGAGTATTTCACTACAGATACAAAGTCCTGATTTAGAAGCAACAGGAGTAAAAGCACTGGTCCAACATTTATTTGAAGTAGTGCAGTAGTAGTATGTGCATTCGTAGTAGAAGTAGTATTATCAATTATTCTAAAAATAATCTTGGTAATGGTGAGTGACAACAATAAGAAAATATAATGGTGAAAGTATCTTAGTAGAGTTTACATTCCCACTAAGAGAACCTAGAATCTACCTTTGGTTAAAAATAATAGTAAACTAGCACTGGCAGTAGAAGTAGTGGTGGTGGTAGTAATAGTAGTAGTAGAAGTAGTAGATATATTACCCAGCAGCAGGAAGGATCTGACAACACCAACTTGAAGGTCCAGACTTTTATCTTCTACAAATCCAAATCCACTTCCCTCCTCCAGCTCCTCCACCCGCTCCACCTCTCCCTCGCCACCGTCGCTCCTCGTCTCCAGCAGCTTCCTACCGGTCACCGTGGTAACACACGTGCACTGTTTCCTCAGACGATTTTTGGAGAAGCCCTGGATCTCCTGACCCAGCGAATGCATCACACCAGGGTTTACAGCTGAGACAGAGAGGAGTCCACAGACATGATGTGTTTGTAGTCAGAGATTAAAATTAACAACCACTAAACACACTTCACTTCAAATCTTTAAGTCGTTCATAAGAACTATACGCTGGTGTCTTTACAGGGTTTTTTAAATATGTACAGTAGATGTATGTTAGAGGTATTTGTTGATCTACTAGTTTTTCCTTCTATTTCACATTTCAGATGTTAGTATTGTACTTATGTATTTAGAGAACTGGATTTATCAGATTACTTAATTTACTTTGCAGATCCACATTATAGGACGACATTTAACAACTAATACATTATGATGTTGAGTAAAGGGGGAATTCACACACTACCAAATACTATATAAAGTAATAAAATAAGCTCCACCTTTACCAGCTGCAACGTTAAAATGATGTAGTCATTAATGCATCAGTAATTACAATCCACTAATAGCCTATCACATACAACTGCATGGTTCATTCTGCATAACGAGTACATTTAACTTTGGTACTTCACGTATATATGTTTATATTTTATTATAATCAATGTGTGCCTCCACTTGAGTGACATGTCTGCATGAGTGTTACTTGTACACGAGTATTTCTACACTACAACTACTTTCATTTCAGGAGAATGTCTGAGTTCGTCCTCCACCTCTGTCTCTGGCATGTCGCTGCCTCGTGCACCCACCTGATCTGATTCAAACGGGTTCAATTCAAAGTAAATCCAGCAAATCCTCCAACCCCTCGGTGCTTTGGGTCTAAATGTTCAACACGCAGCAGCCAGAGTTCCAGAGCAACACGAGACAAACGAGCGAGCAGCAGATTCTGCTGCAGAGATGAAAACACAAACACGATCAGCTGAGAGTCGGAAGCTGCGTCAACAACCCGATGCGTTCAGGGACTGGGGAGGAAAATAGTGAATTATTCGTGTTCACTATTTTTTTCTGAAGTAAAAGCACAAAAATATATTACCAATGATTTATACAAAAAGTGACACACATTAATCATTATTAAAACAACAACATATTCTACATATTCAACACTGAGGACTGAGGCAGATACTGTGAATGAATCATGCTACAGCATAAGTTGTTAGACATGTTTATGAATATGAATGTACGATGCTAAATCTTTATATTTTATACATATTTACGATCCACAATCAGGAGCCAATACGTTACTGAAATCTAATGGAACCCAGTCAAACAAACACCCTCACTCTTGACAGCTGGTCGAGAAAGTGGGTGTGAGGTGTTGCTGTTACCGAGGGAGCCGTGAAGGCAGCAGGATCCAGCCTCAGGACACCTCCTCATCCCGGAGACCGAGAACCGAGGCAGGGACACGGAGGGGTGGAGTACAGGAAGCCGCTGTCCCCGACCACCCGAACATGGGCCACATCTAACCACCCGCACCGAGCTTCTTCTGCCGCCTCCACCCGTGGGAACCTGCGAATAATCCTCCATTTTCTTTTTCTTTAAATTTCCTCCTGGACGGATTTTTGGTTTGGAGGGGAGATTAAAGCGAGGAGATGTCTCGGGGAGTGATCCAGCCCAGCCAGCAGAAGCTGGCCGAAAAACTCACCATCCTCAACGACCGAGGCATCGGGATGTTGACCCGTGTTTACAATATCAAAAAGGTTCGCGCACACGGACACAACACCCACGGTGAAATCCCGGTAAAACACACCGGAGCGTTAGCATGAGATAGACGGATCTGCACCTGCATCCCCCCCGACCCACTGTCAGTGTTAGTGGAACAGCATGGATGCCCGGTTAGCTAGCACCCACCACGTCTGTGTTAATACACCTCCATGTTTGATGCATCGCAGTAACGTGTTTTAATAATGTGTTTAAAAAAATCAGGCCGTGTCCCTCGATGGACACTTCTCCTGAAACGTTTCCTCTGGAAGCAGGATGTGGGCTGTGTTAGTTAGCTAGCTAGCAAGCTAAGCCAGCTAGCACGTTAGCTTGCGGTAAAGATGCTCGTCGGTTCTGCGACACAAACCGATTCGGGGACGACCGCGGGCGCTTGTTGTGAGCTGCGTGGTGAACGAGTGTTTGGTGGAAATAATCGCGAATGACTGGAAAGCGTGTGAATGGCTGCCTCCTCCCCGCCCCGGGGAAACATTCAGGCCCGCTGCGGCGTCGGGAGCTGCTAGCTACCGTCGGCTGGTAATGGCGGCGGTTGCTGGCTAAAGCTAATGCTAAAGCTAGCAGTCGGGCGTCGTCTCTCTGCTCCATGAAAACAACAAACCACAGAAACAGCTGCAGTTTTATTTATTATAATAAAACCAGTTTATCATGTTTAACCTAATGCTCTTTTTTTAAAATAACATCAAGCTATTTAGCCTGATACTCTTAATGGTAAGAATGTGGAGCACAAGCAAAAATAAAGGCTGTTGATAATTAATAATAAATAATCAGTAATTTTAGCTATAAACACTTAATAATCAACACGTGTATTAGCAGTGATGGAAAGTATCTCGGTTCATTTACTCAAGTGTAATGTTTGAGTCACTGCTGCGTTTGACTGTTTTAACGTGAGTTCATACATCAGTTGATTTATTAAACAGAGTCTGCAGAAAAAATCATACTAAGAAACAGACATGACAAAATTACACAATACAGACGAGTAGGCTGAACAATAATAAAAATATAATTCTCATCTTAGTGGAAGCATGATCCAGGACACCCTCATTTCACATGCGATTTAAAACGTGCAACACAGAGACTCGCAATACAAGATATATAACAAACTAATGCGATGAGGGACATTTAATGTTAATAGAAATATGCAGTGATGACAAAGTTCTTCTGGATTGTCGGCCTGACTGAAACGTACAAAGCAGAAGCGCAGACGTAAAAAACACGGGAAGTATATAAAAACATATATAACTTCTATATTTATCAACTCCATAAAGTATCAGAGGGAAATATGCTCGACCCAACTACATGGAATAAGCTTCCAAGTTTAAACAAGTGTCTATAGTTTGCAAGAATTGTTCTTATTTCTTACTTTATAAGTTAAAAACAATCTTAGCTAATAAATCTCAGAACCAGTGATGGACTTGTCGATTGATTGAACTAATTTCACAGTTTTTTTTCCTAATTTTTGCCACAATTATTTAGAAGAACTTTGACACTTGTCTCCCAGTGTGCAATGTACATGTTTATGTGAAACACAATTATTAATGTTATTATTAATGTGATGCTCAATGGTTTGTGTGTGGGACGAGAAATAGTACTGGGTCTGTCTGTGTGGGACGAGCCTTTGTGCTTGGGTGTGTATGATGAATAAAGAACAAGAAGGAGAGAGTGAAAGAGGTCACTTATGAAGTTTTAGAGAGTACAGAGTAGTTAGGATGTCTGACAGCCCATACTGTTTCCTAACTATTTGCCTTTTGTCTACTCTGTTACTGTTCAGCTATTCAACAGCTCACCACAAAGCAGCAGGATTTCTGTCTGTTATCATCAGATTTTTAATTATAATCGTTACTCATCAGCGGAAAATAAACATCAGCAAATGAAAAAATGTTTATCTTCCATCAACTCAAGTGAGTTTTTAGTTTGTGTAGAAGTTTGAGGACAGTATGAGCAGTCAGACACAAGCAGAGATTTTGCTGCTGATTGCTCTTCTTAATCCGCCCTTCCTCTCCTTCCTTTCATTTTCTTTCTGTCTGTCCCATCATCCTCAAATCTCTCCTGCTCCGCCTCACCATAAGGCTTCTGAACATATCCATCTTTAACGGTGTTCATATGTTTTTATTTCTTTGCTTTTACCTTGTGAATATTAAGCAAACCTCCCAGCATCCTCTAGCATCTGCATCCCAAAGCCAGAAATGAAAGAACCGGGGATATAATCTATGATACAATCAGCCATGCTCATTCTGCCTCCCTCTATGGCCATTTGGAGAATAGTTGGATCCCTTTTATTTCTGAAATTTCTGAAGAAATTCCCAGACGAAGTGCTCACAGAAGTTGTTTACAATTTCTCATCAGTGGAGTAGCTTAATGAAAACACAGGTGACAGACTCGGTTGTTTGGTTTCTGCCTTTGGGAGAGAGCAATTCATGTTCACTAACGGTATTATTATCATCCAAGATCACAGTAAAGTTCTTTTCCATTTTAAGTATTGTCACTCATTACATACCACCGATTAGCTGCAGTTAACCTCTAAATCTGCTCCTTAAATTTCCCAGTCACCTTTGCTAATCTTGGCTGAGTGGCATTCAAATTTTTCTTTGCTGTGCTTATCTTTCAGCCAGTGGAACTTCTAACATCATATCTTTGTCTTGCACACGGCGCTTACATGTATTTATTTTACTTAATCTTGCCAATAATCAGGTAAATCCCATCGTCTCCTACGCTGTTATGCAGTTAGAGAACAATTGTCCAAGTCATCATGACAGCAAGTACAAAGCAGGATAGTTCGTCAGTGTGAAGCCTAAACCCACTTTTTTTACTTGATCAAATGCATTGTTAATTTTTAGGCTGGAGCTTGTTCTGCTACATTCAGATGTTAGTTTTAAATGTCTACAAATGTAGGTTAAAATCTCAGTTAAGACAGGGAGTGTTATACTTAACAAAAGTAATGTTTCTAGAAAGGCTTTTGCATTAGAGTGCATATATTTTACGGTAGTCATATGTTGTTTCAGTTGGGAAATTCAGAAATGTGCGTACACTTTAACTGAGCACTTTATTAGGAAAACCTTTAAATTAGAATATTCTTGCACTTATCCAAGCAGCCGATAACATGGCAGCAGTGCAATGCATGAAATCCTGCAGATACAAGTCACATCAAATATTACAATGGGGAAATAATGCAGTCTCAAGCAGTTTTCAAATTTGACCTGTGAGTAAAAGCCGGAAAATTGTCTGCAGTGTTTACCCGTAGTTTGCCTTCCAGACATGCACAACACGGCAGGAGGTTCTCTGCACAGACTCGTTCACAACAGAAACAACTCCGCTGCAAAGATCATGTGATTTTCTTTACAACACACAGACACTAATGTCAGCTTTTATCACCACAAACTCTTTCGGCATTTTCGCGCCTGTTGCACGTTTAAAGCGTCATCAAACCCCCACTCCCCCCCACTTGCTCACAGTGAATCCTTGAGGCGGATGGTTCTACAACAGCCGAGGACCACAGCAGGTTCCATTGTTGTTGAGCCCAGAACAGAAACCTTGCGCTGCGTTGACAGACTAAACTAAACTGGACAGCAAAACAAACGTAGCCTGGTCTGATGAATCTGGAATAGTCATAATTTGAATTAGCCAACCTGCCATGTATCAACAGTTCAGGCTGTTGATACATGGCAGTGTAATGACTAACCTTGGGCCATGAATACCAATCAATCAGTTAAAGTGTTACAGCCGACCTGAGCATCACTACCGACCATGTTCATCTTCTTATGGCTACTTCCAGCAGAATAATGCATCTTGGGACAAAACAACTTCAGTGTCACCAGATCTGAACCCAACAGAAGCAGAAGAACCAGCTTCTGCATAAAAAAAACATATCTGACATCTTGTGGTGTTAATACCATGAAGATACGAGACTGTTCTAACAGCAAAGAGAGGAACTACTCAGTATTAATGTAGTGTTCCTGACAAAGTGCTCGGTGAGTGTGTAGTTTGTAATGCAGTGTACCACTAGTCTTTCCTACTGCTGCTGCTGCTGCTACTCTCAGCAGCAACTGAAGAGGGTATCACCATTTTCTCCTTTCCAACTTTTTTCTCTCTACGGTTCTGAAATACTAGATCGGTTCCTGTGAGATCAGGATTTTCTGCTTTCACTCACTTTGTCGTTTCTTCTGCTTGATTTTTGTTTTTAACATGAAAAAAAAATCCGCCTTTTTTTGCGCTGCCCAGAAAACACGCAGGGAAACATGGCAGCCTCGTGATTACTCACTTAACTCAATGAATAATTACAGGTTGACATTTAACGAAGGGCACTCCTGATTTACTTGGGGCATTTTTTTACTCATTTTTAATTTCAGGGGGGCATTTTATGAGCTGTTAAGGCCAAGTTGCCTGAAACCCCCATCAATTTGTCATGGTATGAATGACACATTCCTCAGGGAGATGTACATTAAATTAAATATTTTTCTCTAATCTGTTTGGATTGAAAAGACAGAACTCAGACGGAGGGATTTGAGTAACAAATGGGTAGTCGTGCCATAGATGGGTGTGAGTGTGCAGGTTTTCTCTGAGAAGTCTCTGCCTTCTGGTTGAATGTGTTCTAGAAGTGTTTCTATCTGTGAAATCACTTGTAGTGTTTAGTTTGGATGAAAACCTGCAGACTCTCTCCATGGCATTACTGCACATCTGTGGTTTGAACTGTAGCAGACTTCTAAATGTGTGCTGTGTGACAAAATGT